AACGTAACGTAACGTAATAATATTACGTAAACGTAACGTAACGTAATAATATTACGTAAACGTAACGTAACGTAATAATATTACGTAAACGTAACGTAACGTAATAATATTACGTAAACGTAACGTAACGTAATAATATTACGTAAACGTAACGTAACGTAATAATATTACGTAAACGTAACGTAACGTAATAATATTACGTAAACGTAACGTAACGTAATAATATTACGTAAACGTAACGTAACGTAATAATATTACGTAAACGTAACGTAACGTAATAATATTACGTAAACGTAACGTAACGTAATAATATTACGTAAACGTAACGTAACGTAATAATATTACGTAAACGTAACGTAACGTAATAATATTACGTAAACGTAACGTAACGTAATAATATTACGTAAACGTAACGTAACGTAATAATATTACGTAAACGTAACGTAACGTAATAATATTACGTAAACGTAACGTAACGTAATAATATTACGTAAACGTAACGTAACGTAATAATATTACGTAAACGTAACGTAACGTAATAATATTACGTAAACGTAACGTAACGTAATAATATTACGTAAACGTAACGTAACGTAATAATATTACGTAAACGTAACGTAACGTAATAATATTACGTAAACGTAACGTAACGTAATAATATTACGTAAACGTAACGTAACGTAATAATATTACGTAAACGTAACGTAACGTAATAATATTACGTAAACGTAACGTAACGTAATAATATTACGTAAACGTAACGTAACGTAATAATATTACGTAAACGTAACGTAACGTAATAATATTACGTAAACGTAACGTAACGTAATAATATTACGTAAACGTAACGTAACGTAATAATATTACGTAAACGTAACGTAACGTAATAATATTACGTAAACGTAACGTAACGTAATAATATTACGTAAACGTAACGTAACGTAATAATATTACGTAAACGTAACGTAACGTAATAATATTACGTAAACGTAACGTAACGTAATAATATTACGTAAACGTAACGTAACGTAATAATATTACGTAAACGTAACGTAACGTAATAATATTACGTAAACGTAACGTAACGTAATAATATTACGTAAACGTAACGTAACGTAATAATATTACGTAAACGTAACGTAACGTAATAATATTACGTAAACGTAACGTAACGTAATAATATTACGTAAACGTAACGTAACGTAATAATTTTACGTAAATCAAAGTGTACATAAAGAATGTATAGTATACGTATCGCAAAAATTTATTACGTATACGTAACGTTGTATGATATGCGTGAAGTAAATATATAATGACGTATACGCAACATATGTTGAATATTTGTTACGTAAATCATATTACTCAACGTATATGGTAACGTATAACCATACGTTACGCATATAGACATTCCCTTTTAAGTAACGGAATGCTGGTCTTCATATCTGTCATTTAAACCAGCAGTTTTGCCGTTTTGCTCAGACGAAGTTTTTTTTTTCAATTTTTGCCTCTTGCCCTACTCAAGTACCTATTGAGCCACAGCTACAGCATTCCTCAGAGCTGACTCCAGTGGCCTTTGCTGGCTTGCACAAGTGAAGAGGTCCATGAAAGGATGACCCATTGCTATGATTGAGTGTATAAGGAAAGCAAAAGATCACAATAAAAATTTATTTCTTGAAGTGCTTTGGAGATAAAAAAAATGTTTTCACAAATATATAATATCGATTACTTAGCAGAAACATAATTTTGTATTTATAATATTTTGAATCATTTATATAGCTATAAATAAACTTCTTATTTATATCATTTGCCAAAACTGTCAAAAGTTTCTTAAAAAAATGTTAAAAATTTCTCAGAAATTATATTTAATATTTGCAGTCATATTAAGAAAATATGAGAAGATGAAAATGATTTATAATGAAATACCAAAATTCAATTGACACAGACTTCTACAGCAGATGAGATATTGTTTACTATTTAAGCTAACTATGTTTCAGCAACTGTGTTTATTATATACATACATATAATACCATATGTAAGCATACATCTAATTACACAAAATTTAAATGAAATAGAATCCGTCTTATATTATTTAAATATTGACATTAACCTAACCTCTATATATTCGTTTATATATACTAATTAGCTGGTCTGAGCGGATATGAATAAATGTTTATTCCATTCTATTTACGATTTGCCTGCGAAAACTTGTCTATTCAAATTTCTAAAATGTTATTTTGCAAAATGTTATTGTTGCGCTTAGGCTCATTAACAAATTATTAAAGCAGAAAGCAGACAGGCCGAGCTCTCGGCTGACCAGCTGCTGTGCTTCAAGTAAACAAAAGTCGCCTCAATGCGAGGGCAGATCAAACAAACGTTGGGCTCGGGTTATGCCTATGGAGCTGCCAGGCCACAAAAACATGCCATTTGATGGAGGCAGCTGTACTTAAATACAAATTAATTAACTCTATCGGGCTGCTGCTGCTGCCAGGCGGGGGCGCGGCCCGTTTAATGGCTGCCCCGCCCCGTAATGATGGGGCCGATGACGATGACGATGCAGAGAGCATTGAGCATTGTAGACAATGCGAGGTGCGAGGTGAGAGTTGCGCGTGGCTCATAGTTTGCGGCATGCCTAATCCTGTCAATATAATTCAGTGACTTGGAAAATTATATTTTTCATACGTCAGATGCGTAAAACATGGCCGCAAGTCCTCGCTGCGGCACGTCGCTCAAGTAAATCCTTGTTACGCACATAAATAATGAAATTATGGAGATTAGAAAGTGTTCAGGCCTAGCACAAGCACAACGAACGAGCATCCAGCCACGAGCAACGACAACAACGGGCCCCAAGCCAATACTTGGCACCCAGGCGCAATTGATTATAGATCGTTGCGGCTGTCGTTCTAGCTGTCGTACTCGCTGTCGCTGTCGCAGTCGCAGTCGCTGTCGCTGTCGGTGTCGCTGTCGCAGTTGCCGTTTCATGCGCCGCTTTTGTTGCCAGATAAAAGCAATAAGCGCCCCTTTTATGGGCCCGGGCAAAGTGCCAACCAGCGCTGTGAGGCCATCTCACATATGCGGCCATGCCTCCGCCATTCGCCGCCCATTTCGCTAACTTCCGGCCGGGTTGATCTCTGGCGGGGCACTTAATTTTCGCTCGCATTGACACGTGGGACTTGTGCTCTTGTCTGTTGCCGTTTTCCTCTATGCCAAAGTGTGTGAGAGTGTGTGAATATTCAATAAATGACACCGTTTTGTCTTAAGGGAATTATGTATATTAGTTTTGGGCGCATGAACGGCGCTCGGAGAGCTTAAAGGTCTACTGTCTGCTTACTCTTGATTCCCCGCTGAGAAATCGTGTAATTTATTTATTAATTTTGTTTATTAATAAAGCGTTCAGCGCTCAAGTAAATCGCATTTGCGTCAGCTCTGCACAAGCGAAGACAATTCAGCTTAGAAAGTAGTTGCGCTGCAAGGGGACATTTCTCTTGAGAGGCTAAAAAATAAATAAATAAAATAAAAAGATAATCACCTG